GGCATCAAACTGGTATCAAACTCGATGTGCCCCTGAGAATGACCTGGAACTCCTGCTATGCCTCCCAAGTGCTGGGATTCTAGATGTGAGCCACTATGACTGTTTATATTTTAAAATCGTGTTTACAGATTTTGAACTAACACTGAGAAATGCTTATCCCTGTTGACTGAGAAAAGCAAAGTCAAATTTAACCCACAGTGAGACAGACATCGTGGTGAGGGCCTGTGTCCCACCCCTTGGGAGGCAGAGGTTGAAGCATTGGGAGTTCAGAACCAGACTCTGTTGTCTGAGAGTTTGGGGGCAACATGAAACCCCCCCCCAGGAAAAATTAAACCACAGTGGAACCAGGCATGGGTGTGCACGCCTGTCAGCCCTCACAGACTGAGGCAAGAGGATGACAGTCCACTGCCAGCCTGTCTCAAAACGGACAGCTAGGTTTCCTGGCTAGACACCAGTAATCCAACATGGAGGAGCAGGAGTTCAAGGTCATCTTCAGCTACACACCCAGCCGGAAGCCAGCCTGAGCTGCATGGGACCCTGTCTTGGAAACAATCACTACTTGGAAATATAGCCATTGATTTAAAAAAAAAAAAAATCACTACCCCAACCTACAAACCAGACAGAAAAGCTCTGAGCTATAAAAGCACTGAGGAAGTCAGGTGGCAGTGGTATATGTCTTTAATCTCAGCACTCAGGAGGCAGAGCCAGGTGGATCTCTGTGAGTTCGAGGCCAGCTTGGTCTACAGAGTGAGATCCAGGACAAGCACCAAAACTACACAGAGAAACCCTGTCTCGAAAAAACAAAAACAAACAAACAAACAAAACCACTGAGGGAAGCCATCAGTGGCTTTCAATGCATGGTTGACAAGGATTTCTTTACAAAAGATTTACTTACTTTTATTTATGTGTACGTGTATCTTCATGAGTTTGTGAGCACCACATTCGTGAAGGTGTGCATAGGCCGGAGTGCATTTTATTTGTAAAGAGAAGAAAAAAAAAAAAACAGAAAAAAAAATGTGTGTCAGATTTACAAGTATGTATTGAATTATTTTTCTTTTATTTTTTTTTGCGGGGGGGAGGGGTGTTTTTGTTTTTATTTTGTTTGTTTGTTTGTTTGTTTGTTTGTTTTGAGATAGGGTTTCTCTGTGTAACAGCTCTGGCTGTCCTGGAACTCACTCTGTAGGGCAGACTGGCCTTGAACTCACAAAGATCTGCCTGCCTTGGTGTTCCCAGTGCTGGGATTAAATAAAGGCAGTTCCCCTTTTTATTTCACATGCATTGGTGTTTTGCCAGTGTATGTCTGAATAAGGGTGTTTGATCCCCTGCAACTGGAGTTACAGACAGCTGTGAGCTGCCATGTGGGTGCAGAGAATTGAACCCCGGGTCCTCTGGAAGAGCAGCCAATGCAAATTTTAGCCACTGAGCCATCTCTCCAGCCCCACATTATTTTTCTTAAAGATATTCATTAATGTGTGTGTGTGTGTGTGTGTGTGTGTGTGTGTGTGTGTGTGTGTACTCCTTTGGAGGGCAGACAACAACTTTTAGAGTCCCGTCTCTTTCAACACGTGGGCTCCAGATACCAAACTCAGGTAGTCAGGTAGGCATTAAGCGCCCTCATCCGCGGAGCCATCTTGCCAGCCCTGTATTACATTTTTAACAAAAAAAATGGACAAAGTATTCCTTTGAAGCCTGAGTACTGAGTTGTGTGTATCTCGTGAAAAACCAAGAGCATGAAGACACTAACTGCGGATTCTACCCTCAAGGCGAGTTTGCCACGGTATGTTAGCACTTGCCTTAACGGCCCTCAGCCCAGTAGCTGGCTTCGAGGCCTGTGGGTGCAGTTCCAGACCGCACGGTGACGGTAAAGCCTCAGGCTTTCTCCGTTCTGCAGTCTGCTCCGTTTCTCCGTTTCTCTGTCACCTCTGAACCCCGCCCCACCGCACTGACGCCTCGCAGCCGCGGGGTGACTCCTGGCGCCCCCAGGTGCTCTGGATGGAAAGTGCATGTGTACATCCTGTAACTGTGGACTAGGAACTGTTCCCCGGCCTGAGCCCCGCTCTCTGCAGGGGCCTTACTGCCAATGCGCAGGGCTGGGCTGGCAGAGGATGCCCACCCAGGCTGGATTCTCACCAGCCCCTTTCCTCTTCCCATCCCTTCCTCTGAGGCTGTGGGCCTCAGCCGAACAGATGCCAAGGACTTGCTGCGTGATTCCGGAGCCCTTTCTCCTTTCATTAATTTCTTCTTCTCCCCCCTAAATTCCTTTTCTTTCAATTCCAAACATGCTGCTGCCTTTTTCCTTTCTTTCTCTCTTTTCTTCTTTCTTTCTTTCTTTCTTTCTTTCTTTCTTTCTTTCTTTCTTTCTTTCTTTCTTTCTTTCTTTCTTTCTT